GCGCTGTCTTCCTGCTGCTGCTGCTGCTGCTGCTGCTGCTGCGTTCTATGGGGGGGCGTGCCGTACTGCTGCTGTTGCCGCTGCTGCAGCAGCAAGCGTTGGTGCTGCAGCAGCAACTGCTGCTTCTGCTGCTGCAGCAGCTGGTGGTGAGACGCTGCTGAATCGGGAGAAGACCACCCAGGACTGCGCGCCCCAGCTGCAGCAGCAGCAGCATCGTCTGCAGCAGCAGCAGCAGGTGCAGCAGCAGCAGCAGCAGCAGCAGCAGCAGCAGAACAAGGGGTTTGCTGCCTCGTCTGTGCAGCAGAGCTGCACCGACTGCAGCTGCGAACAGCAGAAGCTAGGAGTGTAGGGAGCCACGCGCTGCTTCTGCTGCTGCTGCGGCTGCTGCTGCTGCGGGAGCCGCGCTGCATCATCTTACTAGCAGCAGCAGCAGCAGCAGCAGCAGCAGGTGCTGCAGCAGCAGCATCGCTGCTGCTGCCAGAGGACCCCACAGACAGCCGGAAAGGCACGCGGTGTATGCCGCCCGCTGCCTCCCCCTGGTGTGCAGCAGCACACCCAGGTGTACATACACCCGGTGCAGCAGCAGCAGCAGCGGCTGCTGCTGCTGCTGGTGCTGGTGCTGCTGTTGCTGCTGCTGCTGCTGGTGCTGCTGCTGCTGCTGCTGCAGGGCGAGGAGTCGAGCGGCACTCAACAGGAAGCCCCAAACTCACAGCAGCACGAGAGAGAAGAGATTCCTGCTGCTGCTGCAGGTGCTTCTGCTGCAGCAGCTGCTGCTGCAGCAACTGCTGATGCTGCAGCAGCAGCAGCTGTTGCTGCTGCTGCTGCTGCTGCTGCTGCTGATGCTGCTGCGCGTCATCAGCGGAGAGCCTTCGCGTTCGCTGTGCAGTTAGGTCCAAGGAGACTTGCTGCTGACTCCTCATCATCCTTGTTGCTGCTGCTGCTGCTGCTGCTGCTGCTGTGTTTTCCGTTGCTGGTGCTGGTGCTGCTGCTGCTGCTGCTGGGTTTTCTGTTGCTGCTGCTGCTGCTGCTGCTGCTGCTGCTGCTGGCTTTTATGTTGCTGCTGCTGCTGCTGCTGCTGGGCTTGCTGTTACTGCTGCTGTTGCTGGATTTGCTGTTGCTGCTGCTGTTGGTGCTGCGGCTGCTGCAGCCTCCCTCGCTGTGCAACCAACCCCACAGTGCTGCAGCAGCAGCTGCTGCTGTTGCTGCTGTTGCTGCTGCTGCTGCTGCTGTTTAGGCCCAGACGCCGTACCACCTCTCCAGTGCTGAGCGGCGTAGCCAGCAGCAGCAACAGCCACAGCAACAGCAGCAGCAGCAGCTGCTGCTGCTGCAGCAGCAGGAGCAAAGGCAGCAGCAGTACTGCAGTGCTGAGGCCCTAGATATGCTGGGGTTATATAACACCGAAGTAAAGACTCAAACGTCCTCAAGCTGCTGCTGCTGCTGCTGATGGTCCTCACTAGGCGCCGCTGCACGAGAGAGTTTGCGGTGTACGTACA